GTACATGATTGTAACAAAATCTTTATCTATAATTTGCGGACAAATTGATACCCGCGGAGGTTCTATAGTGCTCTTTTTTGGGTAATAGTTAAGGAGACGTTTTGTCACCAGTGCAGTGGGAAATTAGTCAAAAACTCGTGTACATACCAAACATACGTGATTTAAAATATATGCACGAAATAATATGTATCTTTTTATATAAAAATATACATTTCCTGCAAAAATCTTGGATCCAGTTAATAAAAATCTTTAAATTTTATAATATTTATGTATAACGACATTATTTCTGTTTCATACAATTCGTGCCAAATACATATGTAAAAACCATTGTAGTACAAAGGTTGATGACAAAATATCTCCCTTTGGAGTTTTACGAGTAAAAGTGTCCATCGCTCACACATTTAATTAACATACATAAATGTGTGTTACAAATTTGCAAAAGACACGACCTACAGATGGTCACGTTTAGTAGAGATATGTGCACCTGAAGAGGAAAAAATCGGCCCCAAAATTCTATACATTTCACACTTTCCAAATTTTCGGCTCGTTTTTCGTCTTAAGGTGCAAATATCTCTGCCAAAACTCACCATTGGGAGATGGCGTCTTAAGCAAATTTCGTTTGAATTAATTTTGTGATACACTATTTTTATATATATACTATTTTGTGGGACACTAATTTGGTCAAAATTGGAGGACATACCCTGAGCGACCTCCATAGTTATAAACGCAAACAATTGTTTTTATTTTTTGAACTAACAAAATTTGTTTAAACGTACTCATCGTCAGATCGAAGGTGTCTACTAATTTGTAAAAGCTTGTAAAATTAATTTAAAGAACTTTTGGATTTTACTAATGGCTGAATACTGCGTGAATTGCGTTATGTACCTTACAAAGAAATATTCTTCAATGTACTACATAGCTTGTTAATTCCTTCGAGGAATTTGGCTTCCAAGTTAAAATATAAGAACGACATAAGAACAAAAAGTCTTCCTAAATTGTAAGAGGTAGACCCTCATTCGCGAAAAAAGTAAGTGACACATTTACGTATGTAATTACCAAATATTTTTCTGATAAATAATCTAGGATTAATCATCGCCAATAATTTTTTGAATAGAATGGCTGGTAAAAATTCGAAAGCTTCCCAGAAATTGCTCATTCTAGTTGGAGTGATCGCATTAGTCGTATTAATCCTAGATAGGAACTACACTGTTGTTGATTGGTCGCAGGTTTATAATTTTAATGGGGAGAGATTTGCCAAGTCAGGACGGCACATTTTGAGCGAGAAGAGTATTGAGGAGGATAAAAGTCTTGGTGACGAGTATTACGGGTAAATTAAATAAATTGTGACGTGCGGAGATTCACATATTACTTGATGTAAAATAAGCCATTGTGGTTATAAAATATTTACGCTATCCTTCAAAATAAAATGACATTTATGGCGAAAATTCTGTTTTTTGCACCACGTAATATTTGAAGGTCCACTAATCAGTTTTGAATTAATACTGATTTTTAAATAAATTTTTGATTAATTTCATGCATCATGCAACAGAAATTATGTGAACTGTAAAAAACTTATTTTCAATTTCAGAAAATTAGAAGCCACTACACACTCCAACACAAATGCGCTGAATTTCGAAACCTCAATAACGAACAGGTCATACTACACGATTATTCCTGCTGGCCAACAATCATAAAATTTATCCTCCTCCACTCCCATCCCTACACCCCCTCCACCGTCACTCTTACCTCCCGCAATACTGGTCGGATTTAAGGGTGGACTTGGAAATCAGCTGTTTCAATACGCCTGTCACTACGCGCTCGCTCGGAAACATAATGTTCCCCTATATGTCCAGCTACATTCTGCCCTACGCGAGAAATTGAACCTTGTCTCAGATGACCCCCTTCAAAAAATTTCAACTCCATCTCCAACTCGTTCGCTGGCCGTGACGGATCGATCCTTCCAGTTAGCGAATTTTCAAGTCCCACTTTTTCACTGGAACACGATCGATGAAACGTACACGATTCCGGGCCATAGCAATATCGCAGATTCAGCCATTCTGTCAGAAGCGTACTCTGTTAATGGTTCCATCATCTCGGGTTATGATTATTGTCAGTCGGAAACCTATTTTTCGCAGTATCGTGACGAACTTCTGGAGCTTTTCAAATTTCGCGGGGATATATACCTTTTGAAAGAAACCCTGGAGTGGGAGCAGAAACTTTTGCCAGATGATCGTAAGACCACTACTGTGGCTATTCACATTCGTCGCGGCGATTTTATTCGAATAAACGCCACCATTCCGATATCCTACTATTTGACGGCTGTTACAAAATTGTTCGACAAGTTGGGGGATTCAGAGAAAATGTCCTTCTTCATATTTTCCGATGATATCAAATACATAAATGAGACGTTTCTACCTACTCTGTTGACTTTTAGAGATTTTTCTGCCAATCATATTTACGTTGTGTCCGATCCGACAAAATTATCCGGCTTGGAGGAATTCTATCTTTTATCGAAATGTATGCACTTTATAATTCCGAGCAGCACGTTTTCTTGGTGGGCGGCATATCTCGGAATGGGGGAAAATAAGGTAGTTTACGCCCCTCATTTAAGGGAAGATTTTATAAAATTTCTTTACCCATCTGGAGCGAGGCAGGAGTTTTACTTGTTTATGTATAAACATATACACTATCCGAGCGGGTGGAACTTGATAGAGCCTACATGGGAAGATCTTGATAATCCTGTTGGTACGACCACAGAGACAATAGTTTAGCGTTTGATACTAATTATTTGTTCCTGTAGTTTGCCGCAGAATATTTAGCTGTATATAATAAAACAAATTTATTACAAAAACTGGCAACCTACTCATGAGACTTGATACTTTCCTAACTTTTTTAAAGTTTATGTTTGCAAGCAACTGTTTAAAACTATTTTTTATTTGTGTATTTCTAATTTACCTTACACTTAGTTGGACTGGTTTACTAACTTTGTTAATCTTAAAAGATTCAAAGAATTTAATTCAAAATCTTAAAGAAGCTTTACCTCACCAAACAAACGCCGCATACTTACACATATAAATCTTTAACAGTCAGATATGTAGTTGTATAAATTTTGTACTCCATGAATTATTGACGTATTGCTATAATATTTCCACAATAATTTCTTCTGTTGCCGTTGTAATTCATGATGGTTTTAATCGCACCAATAAAGCTATCAGCAACACAATTTCTAAATAGTTCATTTTCAACAAGTTAATTTTATTCCGAAATGTTTTCTAATAGTACCTACTGTTTTTTTAGATAGGATCAAAATTCTATTTTGATCCTCTCTCTGTTCCTCTGGACAATAAGATACACCCAGCTCATTGCACAGAGGTGCTTCTCGTAGCACTTTTTTTAGATGCGTTTTTTAATAAGGCTAATCAATTGCATTTACATTATTCAACACCGACTAATGCTCAGATTCGTTAAAACATTAATTGTGATTGTAATTGTCTGGATACAATAACCACCTTCAGGTGTCCGTTTTTAGAGTTGGAGTGCAGGGGAAAGGATGAAGTAGATGTGGTTAATGTATATTTTTTTGTTTCAATGATGAGAGAGGCCAGGTAGCTGGTCGACAGTTCCTACTGATGCTGTTTGAAGCTTCATGACGCATAGAGATTAAAGAATTTCTTCGATTTCAGACTAATCCTAAAGTTTGTAGTTTACCCCGACGACTTGGTATTTCACTATAAATGAACTGTGGTGTCTCAATGCTGCAGGTGTTTTAATTTTCTCGGTGGAAGAAGATGATTATTGTATCGAATCATCTATCAGAACTACAGCTGTGATAGATAAAGCTTCAGGCGTATGCATCCTAGGAATCCAAGGATGCATCTTTCTGAAAACTCCTACCTATCGTAGGCTAGGATAGGAAAGCAGAGAGTTTGAAATTGTATCTATCAGAATCTCTCCGGAACCTGACTTTCAGGTGTACGGATTTTTTGTTAGAGCTGGGTTCCGTGAGATCGGTAGTGAAATGTATTGCCGTGTGAATTTCGTTGATAAGATACAGGTATGGACCAAAATGAAGATTATGAGATAGGCCGGCAGAATAACCCAAAGAAAAATAGATTTTTGCATAAGATTTAAATGATGCAGGGAGATTGACGATGTACAAAATGGTAGAAAAATCGCTGGGCATTTGAGAGCTTGAAAGTTTTGGAGTCCATCACCCGGTCTTAATAAATCACGTATTTAATACTAATAACCTGAACCAGGGAGAATGCGGGTCTTAATGCATTTTGCATATGTTTTAGCAACGATGAGCTTTGATTTTGATATTTACTGTGATATTTTGAACAAAGTGGTAATGTATGAGTAATTACTAAGAATAAAAATGAATTGAATTAGGTGTGGGAGCGTAGAAATGTAGACTAATTTATTTTGCATTTGGGTTAAATTTAATATTTCAAATATGAAGTTTCCAAGCAAAGGTTCAACGGTGATTCCAGTGCTAAGGAACACAAAGCGTGACGTCCAAAGAAATATTTAACATTGGTAAACGCACAAGGCGTCAAAGTAAGTCATTCGGTACAAAAATAATAACAATCACGATAATCACCTAGTGTAAATGTGGTTTTGTGAGATACTCGTCTACCCTTTTTGTGTGTAAACTTATGTATGTATGTATAAAGGAATTATTTATGGATGTATAGGCGTCCACTTGGTGTGTTCGATATATCGCTCAAAACAAAACTGGGGGGTGACACCAACCTGATTTGTTGTGCTTGGGAGCGTTTCGTCATCTCCACCCATGCCAAATCCGTAAGAGCCCAGTGCAAGCTGCACGGAGGCAGTGAACTAAACAGTCAACAAACCAGAACCTTACTAGAATATTGTTGGAAAGGACCGTAAATGCGTCAACAAAGAAAGCGTCACTCTGTGTGATAAAGAAAACGGGGAGGAAAACTGAGAATGGCGCGTTTCTAAATAATCATTTCAACTATACACACATTAACTTGTCTTGGGAGGACGGTGAGTATCAACATATTTTTATTCACATATTCAAAGCTTGACATTTACTTTGATCATTTATCTTAAATATATCCCAATCAGTTAAAAAATAAGTTTCCTCGGTTCCTGAAAAATTGAGCAAAACCGAATTCTTCATCAGAATCGGCATCCTCATTACCGTCGACATCATTCACGTAAAATTCCCTCACATTGGCAACAATCCCTGCAAAGTTCAACCCCACAGTGCATACAGCGGTGGATTCGTCCTCACACACGAGTTTCGACGTGTCAAACAAGGTTCCGGTCGGACACCGGTAGATAATCTGTGATCCGTCAATGCACAAGATGTACAGAGTACAATTCCCTTGATAAGGAATGTATGCGACGCCTTGATCTGGACATTGATAGGTTGGTGCCTCTGTCGTGGTGGTAGTTGTCGTTTGTGGTTCACAATCAACGTCTGCCGCCAAATTACATTCTCCGATGGTAACGTCAAAATATAGACCTTCTGGGCAATAACTTGGGGGTTCTTGTCTATCCCCATTGACGCAGAGATAGTAGGCCTCGCAGAGTTCTGAAAATGGAAGTATTATTATTTGCAAATTTAGCTAAAGGACATGAAGAAATAATCTGCCTAATACTACAGATTTGATTTGTGGGATCAGATTGGATTTTTTATCAGAGCGATTCTAACATAGATTTGATCTGATCCGGAATTCGGATGGGATCAAATCCATGTTATTAGAAACGCCCGGATTTTCCGGTCAGATCGGACTGGATGAGCAAAACTAATGATAATTATTTAAGTAGTTACCTGGATGAGCAATTTTCACAATTCCAGTCTCCGGGCATACGCCAGGTGGGAGTCGGGTAGTCGTCTCAGTGGGGCCATCGGTTGATCCGGTGGGTTCGGTTTCTGGAACTTCCTCAGTTGTGGTGGGGGGTACGGTTGTAGTTAGTGGGGGCTCAGTTTCAGGCACTTCCTCGGTTGTGGTTGGGGGTGTGGTTGTAGTTAGTGGGGGTTCAGTCTCTGGAACTTCTTCTGTAGTCGTGTCTGGCGCCGCTGTTGTTGCAGGGGGTTCCGTTGTCGGTGGTTCTGTTGTTGGGGGTTCAGTTGTTGGGGGTTCGGTTGTGGGCGGTTCCGTAGTGGGGGGCTCAGTTGTAGCTGGAACGGTTGTGCCTGTTGGAGGTCTACACAAAAATTTAAGTTATTTTGTAAGCTTAAATTAGTAAGCATACATTTATCCCATTTATTTCACTAACCTTGTCCCATCAACGCACTCGGGAACATTAATTTGGTGATCACAAGTATGTTCTCTCGGATTCCAATAAGTGGGTGGTGGACATCCTGACTCGATTGGATTTCCATTGTTACAAATCCAATACCTATCGCACTCGTGATGAGGCCAGTCATCCTCTCCCGGGGGACAAATTTCTTCTTGAGCCTTAATTTCACAATCAAAACTGATATCAACACATCTATCACACCTTCAGTAAAGTTGTTCAAAATTTAAACTACATTGAATAAAATATAGGATGACGCAACAATTAGTAAAATTTACCCAATAGAGTTTTACCCAATTGTTGTGTCACCCTCCATTTTACTCAACCCCTTGAGTGAATTTGACACAACTTTATTTATAGAGCGGACGTACATACTAACCAAAACTTTAACTCACCTGTGCCCCGAAGAGAGCCAAACCCAGGAAGAAACACAGAAGCTTCGAAATTTGCATGATGAAATACCTTCTGTCCTCAATTAATTAATCGATACGATGACACAGCACGGAGGTCCAAGGATTAAAGGAGGACTTCAGTTCGACACATCTCATTAAATAGTTAATGATTCCATTTAGTTCTTAATCAGCAATTAAATAAATCAATCACAATTTTTATCTGGTCCATTCCACAATCGCGGAACAATGTGCATGTTTGTTTTTCTTTCCAGTCGTTGATAAGGCAACCAAACTCCTGGATGGATGGGAAGCCTAGACAATGGCAATTGACGTAGATCGGGTGGAATGCATGCCAAAAAGCAGAGTGCTTATGGATTGACGCAATTTAGGACAAGATCACACATTCAGTTAACTGTTTGAACTGTTAATTGCATGATCTACTTGATTACAACAAAGTAAATAATACGTGCGTCAGTCAAACACAGGGGACAAATCAGATCAGAAATTATGCTGAGCAAAGGCTTGTTAATAAATTAAGCAAGATAACTTTTGTCGTATGTTTAGTCAACCGATACAATCCGAGAAAACTAAAATATACATATGTATACAGGTTGAAGTTATATTGTTAAACATATCAATCTGGGCAGATTCAGAGATACTTGTGCACAAAATATACAAAATTCAATCAGTCTAAAAATTTAAAAGTTGTTCATTTTGTACTAATTTTAACACGAGTCAGCTTTATGAGCTGGATTTCCCAGTATACCACATGCATTATGTAAGCATGGGGTTAAAAATGAATGGTTAATAAAGTTTATTCTTCATGAATATGAAATAAAGAATGAATATATATTCAATATGCACGCATTCAAAAATTTTACAAAAATTAATCACTATCGTTATTTACGAAGTAAGTGAATAATGCATGAATAATTACTTGTCGTCTATAAAATGAAATGAAATATAGCTTGAGAAAGTACAAAGTTCTATGGTGAGGAAATATGTAAGGATTAATGTGAACAGATATGGATACATACACATTAAATATTTCGTATTAAGTTTCTTAAACGAGTGTGTGGAATGGTAACTTACGCATAGCTTAGTAAGTGAACAAATATGTACAAACGTGCTGAACTTTAATGCTTGGCTCTGCTTGTTGTTTTTCAGGAATTGGCCTGGAATTTAATCTTGCATTCAATTTGTCAACCCGTCATTCAAAAGCGAATCGAATGCGAAGTGTCAAGCAGTGTGATTTTTATCTTCCTAGAAATTGGGGCATAGTTTGGTTCGTGTATGCACATATGCACTATCTATTGGACGTTAGGGGCCGTTCATAGATTATGTGACGTAAATATCGCTATTTGTTAGACCCCACGCTCTGACTTTAACATGTCTCACTAAACACGATATATTTCATTATAGCCTTTGAGCATTATACCCATCCACCCCTCTCGCGTCACATGATTTATGAACCGTTCTATATTCCATTGACTATTTAATTATTTAAGTATAAACTTAATTTATACAGTAAATGGATTAATATTAGACTTTTCATTCGTTTTAAAATTTACAAAGCAGATTCTGTGTAGATTGCATGGGAAGGATGGAACTTGAGTTCTAAATAATGTCTACATTAGGGCATGTAATATCGATATCGTTTTCGATATTTCGATATTTCGATATTTCGATATTTGAATATCGAAATATCGATATTTCGATATCGAAATATCGAAATTGGAATCTTGCAATTTGTGAATTACTTTCTTTTCTTGTGTGCGAAGAATTCAATTTTGGGAACTTTGAGGGTGTAAATCAACCAAATATCAATTTCAGAAAGTTTAAAAACGGGGTTTAACCAGGTGAAAAATCACTATGGAACTTTGGGGGTTAACCAATTCAAAATTTAATTTTCGAAACTTTACAGGTCTGTGTAACCTAGTGAAAATTTGATTTTGGGAACTTTGGGACGTAACTAATTCAAAATTCAATTTTGGAAACTTTGGGGGTGTAACCATTGCAAAACTAAATTTTGGGAACTTTGGAGGTGTAACCAATTCGAAATTCAATTTTGGAATCTTTAGGGGCGTAACCAATTCGAAATTAAATTTTGGGAACTTTAGGGGTGTAACCAATTAAAAATATAATTTTGGGAACTTTGGGGGTGTAACCAATTCGAAATTAAATTTTGGAATCTTTGGGGGTGTAACCAATTCAAAATTCAATGTTGAGAAGTTTGTGGGGTGTAACCAACTAAAAATATAATTTTGGGAACCTTGGGGGTGTAACCAATTCGAAATTCAATTTTGGAATCTTTGGGGGCGTAACCAATTCAAAATTCAATGTTGGGAACTTTAGGGATGTAACCAATTAAAAATATAATTTTGGGAACGTTGGGGATGTAACCAAGCCAAATTTAAAGTTTGGCAAGTTTGGGGGTGCAACCAATTTAATTCCAATTTTTAGATCTTAGAGGGGGTTCAACCATGACCAATTTCAATTTTTTTAAAATTTTGTGTGTGGAACCAACTCGAAAGTCAATTTTCGAAAACTTGGGGGTGTAACCAACTTAAAATTCATTTTTGGAAACTTGGGGGTTGGGTTTAACCAAGGCAGAAGTAAATTTTGAGAACTTGTAGGGTACTTTGACGTAAAAATTCAACTATTGGAACTGTGGGATTTATTTAGTGACCAAGGAAAAATTCGATATTACAATATCGAAATTTCGATATTTCGATACCGAAAATTCGATATTTCAATATCGAAATATCGATATTTCGATATCTCGAAATATCGAGATTACATGCCCTAGTCTACATACATTATGTATGATACATATGTACATATGGGTCAATATTAATATATACATATTTGGAGTAGAATGTTTATTTATTCAGGATAATTTGATTACTTTTTTTAAAGACATTTAAAGGATCAAAATTATTCAGGTTGACCTGACATTATTATTAGTAAGAACCCAAGCAGCCAACTCGTCGTGAGACGTCTTAAATACATCCCTAGGATTTACGAATGTCCGCCGAAAAGTCGTCTTTCTGACATCCTAATGCTTATATAACATGGGGAGCTCCCTAGGACGTCATTTCGGCGGACATTCGTAAATCCTAGGGATGCCTTTAAGACGTTCCACGACAAGTTGGCTGCTTGGGAACCTATATCTAATTAGAATTTGAATTTACACACTAAAATTGTTCACCATTTACCCAAGTTTGCTCCAAATGTTGCAACTGCTTTGTTTTCTGCTTAAGTATAATTAAATTGAAGATGAGTCACTTGATCCAAAGACAGGTTAAGGATGTCTAATTATGAAAAAAACAATAATTCGAGTCAATATTTTATTGTAAGAAAAATGTATTGCTACACTACGACGCTTCGTGTTACTCATTCTACAAGAATCGGTCAATGGCATAAATATTTCTACAATTAAGAATATTTTTTATTATTAAACTCATATATTTATGGGAACTAATTGGTTAAAAATTTATTTACAAAGCAACGAATCGTTTAATTTCCTCTTTCGGCTTGACAAGTTTATGCAGATTTGTCACTTTTCCGAGATCCAAGCAGTTTTCCTTGGTGCATAGAATGGAGAGCATTTGATCACAAAAATCCATCAACAGAGGCACGTCGTACTTGGAATAAATAAGAATGCACATAGATTGAACACAATTTCCCACTTGGACCGATTTCGCCCAACTTCAAACTCGTAGCTTTGTCCAATATGCATGTGGTAAAATTTCCAGCTCAATACCTATCCATCGTAACCCATAGCACTTTCCTGTTATTAAAATTTGACCGTCGTATAAGCCGAAGTTTAAAGATAAGCAATAACATATTACAGACGCTTAAAACACGTAAACAATGGGATGGTATTTGCCAGACGGGAAAAGTTGAGTTGCCTATGCTGTTTTGAACAGAATTTAATTATTCGATTCAGATGAAGTTAATTGAGTCTAAAACAGGTTTCACACCTCATGTCAAAGGTCAGCCTTTCTGCTGAAACAATAAAATGGCATTATAAATTTTTCATGTTCGAAGTTCTCGTTTAGCTTAAATGATGGTGGAATTGATTGATTGATTGATTGAAGTTTTTATTAATGGTGTCGATCGAGCGTCAGCACACGTACTGATTTTAGCCCTGGACACCAAGCGACAGTAATAGAATATAATTCTACAACATAACTACGCTATCCTAAACTAAATCTAACAAATTAACAGAATTATCCGAGTGTATACTTAAGTGCAGTTAACCTTTGTCTCGCATACGAATAATATATTCTTTCAATGATTCAAAAAAAGCTGAGTAAGTCATTTCTTTAAATACCCAGTTTTTAAGGAGGGCATTCCAGAGCTTGTAAGTTCGGAATGAAATTGAGCGCTTACAAGATTCAGTTCTATGAACAATTGGGTCTTGGCATTCTGGGGCCTAGAGAGATACTTCTAACAGAAAAATGAAGTTTACCTAGTCAAATTGAGTTGATAATTAACAACTTCGCCCCTATAACGACTATGTGGCGTATTTGACCTTTACGCCGAGTACGACCATGTGGCGTAAGTTCCCTTGGCACCGGAATTCGACGATGTGTCGTATTGACCCTTGACAACGGATACGACTATGTGGCGTACAGGGTTTGGCACGTACGTGGATACGAATTTGACCTTGAATAACCCCAGAACGGTTTGTCGCAGCGGGTCAAAATTTTGAACACACGAGCATGTTATCCTCAGATAGTTGTGTGCAAAAATTCTACTCTCTAGTTTCAAAAATGCCTCCTCCACAGCCCCCAGAACTTGAAACACCCATTTTTATTCTTTTCAAACTCGGTCTAAAAAATTTGATCTCCGTAGAAAAATTTTATTTTCAAGTATCCGAACCCAAGGAACTCTATTTGACTTACATAGGGGGATTGTACAGGTATTTCGCTATTCGAAATGATTTTTGTCCCCAATCTAGCTTCAAGGTCCTTTGCATTATCTTGGGTTAACTTTGCCGTCTGGGAAGACGTTGCGTGATCATGAAAAATCACCTTATTCATTTTTTTACCGTACAATTTAGGAAAGTGTTATTCTAAAAGTGGTTTCAATACACGGTCCACATCATACTTTGCAGATATCTTCACTTTTTGAGGCACTTTGATAAGTGGGAGGACA